TTATCATTTCAATATTTTTGGGGTTCTTTGGCACTTGGCATCCACTTTCTTTCACACCTTTTTCCATTATTCTATGCTTTTGTCTTGCAATTTTTAAGGTATTTTTTATTGCTTCAAGCCAATTTTTTTGGTATTATTTTTAAATTTCACAAAAATTAAAAAACTGAAATGTTTATGATTAAATGAAAATGTCATAATATTTTTATTTTAAATTCTACATCATAAATTCACCTGTCTTGCTTAGACTTTTATGTGTGTTGCATATGCAATTACATCATTCTTAATTACAAAAACAACAAAACAGTACAAAAACCAGCACCATGGTTTCCTTGCCATTAATCCCAGAAATTATTGGTGCAGAAATACTAGGCTTGATTTGGTCTCAAATATTCGGTGGATTTAGCATAAATCCACCGACTCTTTTTCTTTCTTAGCTTCTTGGTTTCTTCCCTTCTCTCTCTTTCTGCTAATTATATATATAAATATATATATATATATATAATTCATGCACGAGCTCCTCATATTTCATGTGCAAGAATGAGTTGTAATTATCCCCTTTTGGCTGTACAAGAATAGAAAGCCCTTTTTTGCTGGAGACTTTGAAAAGCTTTTCTTTTTCTTTTCTCTAGGTTAAACAAATGGGATTTGGATAGCTAGGTTGCCTAAAAACAAATTTATTGTATTCCTAAGCATGTTTGGAAATTTTCAATGTCATATAGCACTTTATAGATAACTATCTATTTTTTTTAATACATGGGTGTGCCAATCTTTACTTGATTCTAATCTATTTTTTGAAAGATGGATGCTTAGGTAGGATTTGATATCTCTTTTAATATTGTGGTGGTGATATGATCACCATAGTAATAAAATTAATAAGTTGATTTCATCATTAGTAATGTTAGCTTATTATGTTTGATGTAATATTATAAATTAATGGTAATTTTAAATCATTGTATTTGATATTGAATAAAAAAAATTAATAAATATAACACTCAAAATAACCTTTTATTGATAATAAATTATTTAATTAAACCAACAATTTTAATTTTTATTGAATGAACCATTTATAGAATAAAAATTGATTGGTATGAATCATTTTTAATAAGTATAATTCAAAGTTATTAACTTATTCATACATAAGTTGTTTTGCATTAAATAATAAAAAGTGGAGATTTGCTTATAAAAGAACTAAAAATTTGAGGTAAAACGCGTTTTAGAGGGCACCTTTTGGAAAGTAAATGTGGCATAAAATGATTTTAAAACTCTCTCTCTCTCTCTCTCTCTTAATAAAACTTTCTAATTTCTTTTAGATGGGATTCAAATCAGTGATCTCTAAAATTAAAATTTATTACCAAAAATGATGATCTAATTAACTTGATTTTAAAGAGATCACCTATATTAATTGAGCCCCACCTTAAGATTCAATTCTCAAAATACTCTCTAATAGAGCAATAGAATTCTAGTTGACAAGGAAAGAGGGACTCCTTTTCTCACCAATTGAACTAACCCTTGTAAGTATGTATAATCTTCTACTATTATTTTGTCAATAATCATCTTTGATTTTATTTTGCAAGTTGTTATTTAGGTTTCAAAAGTCATTCCATTTTCCATGGAAAAGAGAAGAAAAAAGTGATTGAAAACAATTAGAATGCATGATTTGCGGATTCCACTTGAAATTTTAAGAGTGTTTGACTAATTTTTGTCTCTTCGATAAAATTAAGTGGTTATAATAAGAATTTCAATTGATTATGGACATTAAAAACTAAAAAGGTTGAAGAAATGTGGTAAAATATGGAAATGCTATATGCACATAAATCAAGCAATAAGCATATAAAAATTTTGTTGTTTGAACTTCCGAGTAGGGATTGAACACGAGTTTGTGTTTGATATATACATGTTTGATATTTTTTTTTCATATATTTAAAGGAACGAAACTCTATACCCATATTTGATTTTCGACAAAACCATAAAAAATTAGACCCACACAAATGCTAAACAAATTTTTATGTGAATTTATGCCTTTTGTCATTGCCTCAACAACACAAGAGGGGAAAAAAATCTATTCAAAGCAAATAACTCTACAACCTAGGCATGGTTGGAGTGGAAACCAGAGGCACTTACAAGTAGCACGTGATTGAAGGCATTAGATGATGATTAAAATCAAGAAATGGAAACTCCTTCTGCCTTTGACTTGGCCTGTTTTTATGCTCTTTTTACTTCAATGTGTTGACAATAGAATCCCCAACCTAAGGCTTAGGTCTTTAAGACTAGTCCACCCATCCCTTTAGGATCCTAAAACTTATGACCTAAAACAACCATATTGTCAAAATATAGCAAGCTCTTATCTTTAGCATTGCCATTCTCTCATGGAAAAAAGGCCAAAAGAGATTGCATATTAATATAGTAAGTTTTACATTTTATTATGAAGTGTGATTTTTGTAAATTTTTATCCTAATATGTAGCAATTGAAGTGGTTGAAAGTAGGTCTCTCACAAAATTTAATATCTCTTTTTAAAAGAATTGAATTGAATGAATCATTCGTCTAATTGAATTCCATCTCATTGTTTCTATTCACAAGTAATCTGTTAAAAATAGCGATTAATATCTTAAAAAGGGTTTGATATCATTTGAGGTGACCATCATTTTAAACGAATCTAAAAATTACCATTTTAACCATAAAAAATCCATTGTTTTTTATATTCTAAATCTTTTAACAATTAAAATTTATCTTCTCTCCTTCCTTAAAAACTTACAAATAAAATGCAATGAATTATGTTTCTTGAAAATGATATTTTGTTGTTTTTCTTTTTAACTCTAAGGTAGAGAAAAGTCAAATTCTTTTGTATATATAGGCTTCTTTTTTCTTTTTTTTTTTTCCTTTTGGGGTTATCAAAGCATAGATAATGACCCTTCATACTTCTTAATGCTTGTACCACATGAATCTATCAGAAAAATCCACCTACATATTGAAAAACATCATCATCTTAGCTTACCATAAAAGCAAAAAGGGAAAAATTTGAAACCCAAAAAAAAAAAAAAAAAAAAAAAAAGGAAGATAAAACCTAGAAAGATTGAGTGAGAAAGGTGAGAAAATATCAATAGAATGGTCCCAAAAATGGTTGAATTTAAGCTGTGGAATGTCACCTTCAATTAACAGTAGTGGGCTGGACAGCATGTGTGGGGGTTGAAGACAAACAGCTGGTAGTTGTATGCATTTAGCTGTTCTCTTTCTAGCCAATAGCAATTTTTTTGGGCTGTCAATGCCATAACTCTAGGCCCAATCTTTCTCTTTTCAACAATTTTTTCTATTTTCAAATAATGAGGTAATTAGTAAAAGGATTGGATTAATAGGTTGTTAAGATTATTTAAAATTTCTATTTTAATTCATTTGATGTAACTTTTATTGCATGTCACTTTTAGCAAACATGATTTTGATAGAATGTTCAAATTGATATTAACTATTCTTGTCTTTATCTTATAAATTATAATCTATCTGATCGTATATAAAATGATTTGTTTCTTTAACGTTAAATTCTAAATAACTTTCAAGTTTAAATTATCAAATATCTCCATATTTAAGCATTTTGTTTAATCATAAATGTATGTATTATTGTGAGAAAAAAATTGATTCGAATATTTAAAAATAATAATAATAAAATACGTCTTCAATGAAAATCAAATTGGATAACATTTAAAATTTACGTTTAAAGGTCTCAAGTTTAAATCTTAAAATAAAATTACATAAAAGAAAGTTATCTAAAAAATTTATAGAATTACAACATTTTGTTAAATAGAACTAAAACATGGATTCTTTATTTCTTTTGACCAATCAACTAAAACATGTATAAGTGATATAACTTTATGCTACATGGTTGATACCTTTCTCAACTTTATTTTTTCTTCTTTTTCTTTTTTCCACTTTTGAATTGACCAGCATTTTATAAGAAGGCTTTTATTTGAATGCAAATGTCTATCATTCAAATTAAGTTTTTTTTTTTTCAAATAAATAGATGACATATTGAAATGAACCAAAAAGAAAATACCAATGACATAAGATGTGCCATTTGTCATTTGTTTGAATATGAAAATTCTTTTTTTTTTCCTTATTATAGATTAATATTATTTTTTAAAATTTTGTTGAAAATAGAGTGCTTTAGATTCAAAATACTTTTATTTTTTGTGTAAAATAAATTATTTTTTAATAGAACTATTCAATTAAAGATTTCTTCAATTACGTTTAGTTGTATTTTATGATTAAACTTCTAAAAATTTAATCATAAACAATTGAAAATCACCATAAAAGTTCTTTTATCATATATCCAAATGAAGATAAAGTTGACTTTTTTGTCATTAAATGTTTCAACCAAATAACAAGTAATTTTATTTTATTTTTCAAAAAAAATAATTTTCTAATTTAATTATATAAATGGAGATGGAAGTTGGTCAATTCCAACGGTGGAATTAGATATTTATTATTTGGTCATTGAATGAGTTAAAAATTTGATTTTAATTTCATCATCAAGGAAGACCTAAAATAAATGACCATAGAAACAAGTTTGGTAGGTTAAAATGTCAAAAACTGGCATTTTCTTCTGAGAAAATTAAAGTGAAAAGATTGTTCATTGATTTAGATTTAATAGTCTTTATTGAAAAATTAACTAGAGAAGTTTTGCTTTAAATGGCTATAAAAATGTAATTGATAAATGAAATATTTGAATTAAATTTATGTTTATTATTATTTTCAATTATTATATATACATTTTATATATGCGAAATGTAAATATAAATAACATATGAAAAATAACTTTTGGTATAAACATGTGTTAAGTTATTATTATATTAAATCATAAACTCGTTAATAATTAAGAAGAACATTTGTTAATTTTATGAATTTATTTATAAAAATTTTAAAATTTTCATTATTGAAACGATAATTTTATTTTAAAAATGATATTTGAAAATTGTCCAAATGATAATTTAATAGAAATTCCAACTTTTGGAAAAAGAAAATAAATAATTTATTTTTGTAAATAATGAAAAAAAAATACTTTTCTTTCACCTCGTTTCGTCTTGTTTGTTTATTCAGAATATTTTATTTCCAAGGGATAGATCCTGCACCTTTAACCTTTCACATTTCAATACCCAAAAAAAACAAAAAAACCAACGAAAATCAAATCAATCTCCCTTCACTTCTCCCACAAAGACATCACCAAACCCCAACTCTCTCCCCCCTCTTCCCCAAACCCATCACTCCTTTTTCCCTCCTTCCCCTTTGGATCTGATTTTCTCTCCTTTTGTATCCCTCCAAACACCATTTTCCCTTTCCAATCCAAACCCAGAAATTTTTTTGGTTTGTTTTTTATGATTATATGTTTAATTTGAAATGGGAATGCTTATATAGAAAGCATGAGCAAGAAACCCATTGGTAGCAATAACAACCAAAAGGACGACGCTTCGACCCAAGAAGAAGAAGAAAAGGAAGAAAACGAACAACAAAAAGAAGGGAAAGTAGTTGAAGAAGAAGAAGAGTATTTTTACGAATCCCTTGATCGCATTGCTTCTTCTAATTCTTGTTCCTGTTCTAACTCAACTTCTCCTTCTTCTGACTCGGATTCCGACCCAATTACCCGTTCTAACAATGCCCGCCACCCATTTCCCGTCCCGAAATTCCCCATGGCGGTTTCCAAGTTCGATATCTGGATCTCTGAACCCGCCTCCGTTTCCGAAAGAAGAACCCGGCTGCTCCGTGAAATGGGGCTTAGCCGCGACCCTGGTCTTTCCCGGTCAAAACCCGGGTCAGAAACGGAGGTTGTTGTGGGACAGGAAATGGGTGGTGGTGGTGGAGGAAGAGGAGGAGAGTTTGGAAGAAGATCAGTTCCGTCGGATCGGTCGGTAAAAAATAAGTTGGAAGAGCAACAACGTGGAGGGGAAAGGGGAAGTAATTCTTCTGGAATTATACGATCGAAATCAGATGGTGATACGAGCCGCAATAATGATTGTAATGATGTTGCTGTTTCTTGTTCTCCTTGTTTATCTGTTTGTTCCAATTCGTCTTCTTCCATTCTTTCTGTTGGTTTATGTCCTGTAAATAATAATAATAATAATAAGAAACAACAACAACAACAACAACAACAATAGTGAATGTGATCATGTTAATGCCGCGGCTGCTAACTTAAGAAGCTGTGAAAGTAATGGGTCTACGTGTAATAAGCCGCCCACGGGGAGGAGTGGTAAGAGTTTGAATGGGGAACTTGGTTATAAATCATTTGGTGGTTCAGAGGTTGTTGTGGTGGAGGATAGGATGGATTGTAGTAAACAAATGTGTACGATTAGGAATCTTGATAATGGAAAAGAGTTTGTGGTGAATGAGATTAGAGAAGATGGGATGTGGAACAAGTTGAAGGAAGTTGGGACAGGGAGGCAGTTGACTATGGAGGAGTTCCAGATGTGTGTTGGACATTCTCCGATTGTTCAAGAGTTGATGAGGAGACAAAATGTAGAAGAGGGTAATAAGGATAATGCAAATTTGAATGTGAATGGTGGTGGTGTTGGTGTATCTAAGTTGAAGAAGAAAGGGAGTTGGTTTAAGAGTATAAAGAGCGTTGCAAGTAGTGTGAAGGGTCATAGGGAAAGACGAAGTAGTGATGAGAGGGATACATCATCAGAGAAGGGTGGGAGAAGATCGAGTTCTGCCACAGATGATAGCCAGGATGTTTCATTTCATGGGCTGGAGAGAGTGAGGGTAAAGCATTACGGAAAGTCATGTAAAGAACTCACTGCTCTTTACAAGAGTCAAGAGATTCAAGCACATACTGGGTCTATTTGGAGTATCAAGTTTAGTTTGGATGGAAAATACCTTGCTAGTGCTGGTGAGGATTGTGTAATTCATGTATGGAAGGTAGTTGAGTCAGAGAGGAAAGGGGAGTTGTTGATGGAAAAGCCGGAAGATGGGAATTTGAACCTTTTGCTTGTGGCTAATGGATCTCCAGAACCAACTCTGTTTTACCCACGTGCAGATCACCGTCCTGAGAAGAAGAGAAGAGGAAGGTCATCCATAAGCCGGAAGTCTTTGAGCCTGGACCGCATTGTGGTGCCAGAAACTGTTTTTGGGCTTTCAGATAAACCTGTTTGTTCTTTTCTAGGACATTTGAATGATGTGCTCGACCTCTCATGGTCCAAATCTCAGGTTAGTGATCATTCTTTTATCCTCTCAGGTGTTTGGAGAAATATTTACCAATGTACAGTGATTAGTTTGATTTTCAAAGTTTTAACCAGTAATGTTAATTTGAAGAACTTTATTGTTTCTTTGTTTATGCCAAGCATTTATGATATATTTTCCTGCTGGTTTGAGGTAGACTAAGGAAAGCATTTTTGTTTCTTCTCTTCTTAACGGTGCTCCATGTTGATGGATTTTTGGGTCAAGTTTTGGCGGCAAATTGAAATTGAGAGTTGTACTATTGATTTTTAGTAAGAACTAAATTTGTAATGGGACTGAAGAAATTTAATTTGATCTGAGAAGTCCATCTTCTAGTATTCCTTGTACCTTGACTTTTAGGGAATCCTAATCCTAAATATTTTTCACTACAAAGAGAATGGAGAAATTGGGCACCTGTTTGCAATGCACATAATCAGATGTTATGTGTGAAACCAGTATCTAATTGAAGTAAATGTGAATTTCATCAAAATATAAAAACTATTGCCATTCTGCTTGAGTGCTTCTTGTTCTATGAAGAAAGGAATGGTCAGTACGTTACTTGTCTCAATGCTTTACTTTAGAAAAGGGTCTATGGAATACAAAAATAAAGTAAATTTTCTTTGAAATTGGTAGGCAAACAACAAAGAAAAATTGGTGGATCTTCAAGGTCAGATTTTAAATGTGTCTAGGTTTAATTCCGGCGACTATAAGTGATATTGCTTGGTGGGTTTTTTATTTGGCATTACCTGTTTAGATGTTGACACCGGCTGCTAAGTGACATGCATGTATGTAGATGTCACAGGACAACAATGAAGTAAAGCAATTTTGTAAAGCCTTAAACAATCAGGTAAAGCATCTGTATTTTGGCACATAAAGGAAATGAACAAGTTCAATAAGTGTTTATTTTGTCATGGGCAACATGAATAGTAGCAAAAAGTTTACTTTGGCATGGTTAGCTTATATCAGTTTTCTATTTGTTCAAAGAGTGAATTATATGGCAAGAGGCTTGATCTTTCTAATGGAGATTGTATTCACCCCATCTCTGTGGTCTTGATTGTTGGCTTTGGATTTTAAGTGATGCCTTCTTCCTTGTCAGAGATTCAGGTCAAGTTTCCTGATTATACCCTTAATATACCTTGTGGACTCTTTGAGATCACTTTACGATTACTTTTGAACCTGCGAATTTTTAATATCAAGTTTAGAGATCAGAAAAATTTTGTGGTCTGCCACCACAAGTTTTTTAAACCACTCCTGAATGTTAATGGCATGTGACCATAATTGAATGCCTTAAAAGTCCTTCAAATTTTAATGGATGCAGATGTCGTGTATTCAATTGGTCAGGCCTCTATGTATTCCTTTTATATCTTTAGCAAGCATTTTGAGAGGTTGTTGTTAGTAGAACATTTTTATGAATATTTTGTTCCAGCTTCACCAGCTTAGCCTCATTTAGAATCATGAACCAATATACTGCTACAGGATATTCTGGTGAGATTTTTTTATTTGTTCTTTTCAGCAATTGCTCTCATCTTCAATGGACAAAACAGTGAGGCTTTGGGACTTGACTAGCAAGACTTGTTTGAGAGTATTTTCACACAGTGACTATGGTAAGTAAAATGTAAGTTTCATGTCTTTTGTTGCTTTACATTCGAATTTACTCTCTTAATTGCCCTCTTCAAGAACATTACTAAACTTACTCTTTTTTTTTCTTTTGATAAAATAGTTATTCTTCTTTAAATAACAGATGGATGATTTGAAATTACCTCTTGTCTTCATAATTGTCATACCAAGTTGTGTGTCAGTAAAAAATCTTAAAGACTCTGAGTCGCCAAACCCTTAATTGTAACTTTCTGGCTTGAAGTGTGCACGTAGTGCTCTCAGGTTAAGTGTGCTTAGTGTAGATTCTATCAAATTAATGATTTAAAATTTCAAAGATCCAACATAAAGAAAACATATTTATCTTTTCTTGTCTCCTGAAATTGGTTTATATTGCTAATCATACTTTGTTCTTGTGGATCTGCCTTGACACAGTAACTTGCATCCAGTTTAATCCAGTTGATGATAGATACTTCATTAGTGGATCCCTAGATTCTAAAGTTCGCATATGGAGCATTCCTGATCATCAAGTTGTTGATTGGAATGATCTGCATGAAATGGTCACTGCTGCTTGTTATACACCTGATGGCCAGGTTGGGCAATGGTCAATACAAGTTCATTCTATATAATTTACAATTATTAAGTCTGTAGCTCATGGAACTTTTAATTGTTTTGAAGGGTGCACTGGTTGGTTCATACAAAGGAAGCTGCCGTTTATACAATACTCCTGGTACAAGTTTATGAACTCTCTCTCTCTTTTGTCTGCATGCATATGCATTATTGTGTAGTTCGTTTGACACTGAAGTTTTCTTAAACATTTACATTTACGCATCTTTTGCAGAGAACAAGTTACAATCGAAAAGTCAAATCAATTTGCAGAATAAAAGGAAGAAATCTCATCAAAAGAAAATTACAGGTTTCCAGGTAATCCAGTGGTCCTGCTGCTTAAAATGCTCTGTCTAATTAGGGAAGGAAGGCATAAATACTTTCTCTAGTTGAATTAGAGATTCCTTACTTAGAACATGCTGCATAATTTCTTGCTTCCTAGGGTTCACTTTATTCTTCCCCCTATTGGTTGCTTTCTTAAAACAGTTTGCACCTGGGAGTTCATCAGAAGTACTCATCACATCTGCAGATTCACGAATTCGGGTTGTTGATGGTGCCAATCTAATTCACAAGTTTAAAGGTAACTCATATTCATATGATATAAATAAATGATAAGGGCAATGGTTGGATTTGGTAAGTAGTGGCCATAGATGATAGTGATTGTGGCTGAGAGCTAGGAAGTAAGGAGATTAAAGATGATGTTTCATATTCATAGTTACCTCACTAAGAGATGGTACGTATTGGTGTATCCGATTATAAATTCTTAAAATTAGTGTTCTGCATTTAGGTTTGAATGCTACTAGAACTGTTTGCCAGGAGAGGGGGTTGGAATGGGAAATTTGTTTAAGTTTTGGCTTTCTTCTCAAGTTTAGTTCAATTTGTGGTTGTCCTAGTTCTTTCAAAAGTGTGAGTAGTTGTGAGAGTATTTTTGCACCTCAATTTAGCTAGTAACTTTTCTTGAAACTAACAGATGTCTTTATGTATCCTATGAAATAGGTCACTACTTGCAGCCAAAGGCTGTATTATGGTTACTACTATTTTTCCCATACAGTATCAAGCTTGGTTACCTGAATGTTGCTAATTTTCCTAGTTGCTCTTGAAAAAGTTGCAGATTTGTTGTCTAGTATATATCCACATGAAATTCTGGGATTGTGCTGATTCCACAGAAGTTGCTGTTGATTATGTGACAGGATTTCGGAACACCAACAGCCAAATCTCGGCTTCTGTTACGGCAAATGGAAAATATGTTGTCTCTGCTAGTGAGGACTCTTACGTTTATGTGTGGAAACACGAAGCAGAATCCCGGCCTAGCAGAAATAAAGGAGCTACAGTGACACGCTCATATGAACATTTTCATTGTAAAGACGTATCAGTGGCCATCCCTTGGCCAGGCATGGGTGATGCGTGGGGATTAAGAGATACACAATTGAATGATCAAAATTGTTTGGATGACAATATTGATGAAGTTTCAACAGCCAATCATCCTCCTACGCCTGTTGAGGAGTATAGTGGAAACGAGGGTTCATTATCAGCATCCCGGTGCTCCAATAGCCCTCTCCATGGAACCATTTCTAGCGCAACCAACAGCTACTTCTTTGACAGAATCTCAGCTACATGGCCAGAGGAAAAACTTCTGGCTACTAGGACCAGGAGCCCCAGGACCAGTGTAGACTTTTCCTCCGGGGTTAACCCAAACATGTCACCTTGGGGTATGGTGATTGTGACTGCTGGCCTTCGAGGAGAGATTAGAACTTTCCAAAATTTTGGATTGCCTATTCGGATTTGATGGGCCAAAAAAAGGGTGGTGGGTGGGTGGGGGAGGGGGGGAATGAGTTGATAATCCATCAGTACAGTCCATTTCCCCCCTTTGGTTAAATTGTGTACAGAGAAATATTGGTTGAGATTTGTAATATTAGCGAGTTTCATTTCTTTCTTTGTGCCTGTGCTCATTGGCTGTGGGGTAATGGGAAGCCACACCAGTTGAGCATTGAGGAAAATATAGATTTGTTCAGAGGAAAAAAAAAAACTACACCATGAATTTAGAATCCCATATATTTCTCATGTCGGGAATTGTAGAGTTAAGATCACGGCAAAAGCTTTATCGAATTGAAAATGAAATTCTTTTACTATTCATTCTCAGCTGTCATTCTTATGTTCTTGAACAACGCTTGAAAATTGAGTTTAAGCTCTTTTTCTTTTGTTTGTCGTATTTCTTTGAGATTTAACAAATTTGAAATATGATACGAAATTATGATATGAAAAAAAAAGAGATTTAAAATTTTTTAATATTTAATGTGTAGAAATAAATTGTGATATAATAATTTTTATATTTTATATATATTAAAAATAAAATAAATAAATATAAATATTTGAATCAGTTTAATTGTTTCCTCAGCCCAAGAAATTAGTGTTGCAGATCGATAGACCAAATTTGTGGGTTTTGGCAATGGTTGAAACAAAATTGAGTTAAATTTTAATGAAATTTGTTTGGACTTTCGAAAAGAAAGAAAAACCAAACACTATAAGACCCAAAAGAAAAAAGAAAATCCATCAAATTGCAATTTGCATTTAAGCTAAGAGTTTCCAGTCAGCAAGCAACCACCAACCATGCTGAAAGGATTTGATAAGGTCACATGATGATGTCAAATAGCATTCCAAATTTACGAATGGTTTGTTTCAATAATCTTTTTTTTCTTTTTTTTTTTTGGGGGGGGGGGGGCGGTGTTGCTTTGCTAGTTATTGTGAAGCTAAATTTTTATTTCAAGCTATCTATGTGCCCACTTTACATCTCAGGCTATAACTTCTTAAGGTTTTATCTCAAAATCCAACAACTTTGCGACTCCAAAAGATGGGCTGTAGGCTCCGGCAAAAGAAACTCGGAGGGGTTAGAAGAAGATCAGTAAAAGATGAAATATTGTCACGCTTCGATATTAAGATGTAACACAATCATATTATTTTAAAATAAAATCTTATAGTAATACAAGTTTTTTTTTAATCATTTTAAAATTTTTCAATAAATTAATATAGTGTGTCTAGTAAAATTTATATATTTAATCTAACTAATAATATATCTCTATATATCTAAATACAAATCATATAAAATATGAAACTGTTTCATAAATCTCACTGGCTAATATTATCTTCGACGACTAAGTAATTTTTCTCATTTGATATTTTAGCTTTTCACAAAATTAAACAACCTTATCACTTATTCATTTATAAAGAAAAAGTAAAGGGGAATAAGCAAACCATAGCTCAGCAGATATAAACTTACAAACCGTACCAGATCAAGTATCGTTTTTATACATATTATATAGATCATTCAAAATATTCATCAAATCATAACGTCAAAATATTTCAAAGATCATCTTTCTATCAAACATTTCGTAAATTCATAAATCAATATAAAAATATGTCAATTCATAAATCATTATAAAATATGCTACCATTCAAATATCGTAATCAAACTAAATCATGGATCAATCATTAAAAATCATTGTAAATCATCTTTACATATAAATTATGGATCAATCATTAAAATCATCATAAATCATCATTATCATTAGTTTATCATTAGCTAAGGTCACTACTATAACCCGTGATATTGGTCGTATCGATAATTTCATTCTCGTGATCATTGCTAACTATTATAACTCACTAGCCAAGGCTTTACGCTAACTACTATAACCCGTTAACAGGACCGTATGATCATGTTTATGCTAACTACTATAACCCGTTAGTCAGGGCCATAGAATTAGTTATAGTGTCGATGATCCCACTTCTCATGGATGTAAAAATGTAGCTATCATAAAATTTTTCTTTAAATATAAATCATTTTCTCATTTTATTCATAAGTATGATCCATCGCTTATATAGAGAAAAACAAAATAATTATATGTTTGATCTTATTTTCATACGTAGAAAATAACAAAATAAAACATTCATTCATTTAGAAAACATATATATACATAGATTTGAAAACAAGCAAAGTGTGTGAGATTCTATTTACCTCCTTTCGATTCCACCACCTAGTTTTTCTACCCAAATAATCGATGGTCTATTCAAGATAATTTCAACATAATAGTAATTAATCAACCCATTTGAGACCACTTATACCGAAATAATTAAGTTAAACAAGAATTAACTTAAGTAATTAATTCTAACAGCCTGCGTTATTTTCATTAAAACGATAATATCTCAAGATATCTGACTCAGAATTAAAATCTTTTTAATGCGCTAGAAACTAGACTCGATAAGCTTTCTAACCATATATGATCCATCTTGTGATTCCTTGTGAATTAATTATAATCTTTTTTGCAATCCACATCATATACTACTGCCATATAGCCTATATACCTTCTAATAAAAATTATGTATTTATTCATAGGAAACTCTAAATTCAATTCCGCTTATTTTATTGAAAAGTAAACTCAATATGCTTTCCAAACATATATGGCTTAATTTGTAATTACTTGTATAAAAATTAAGACAAGTTTTGAAATTCAACCCTAATGCTGTTGCCTTACAATCTGCATATCCTTAAGTAAAAATTAGACAACTCTTCATAAAAAACTCAGATTCAACTTTTGTTTTTTCATTAGAAAGTAGATTCAATATGTTTTACAAAGATATATAATAATCATAACAATAATCTATCCATTAATACAAAATTCTATTTTAATTCATTATTGCAGATTATAGCATCTTATCCAAAAATAAAATTTTTTCTTCAATCTTTAAAAACTCAAATTTCCACTTTTAGCTTTTAAACTCCATTCAATAATCATCAATAAATCTTCAAGAATATGAAATAAACAAAGCCTAGTAATTTACCCAAATAGATTATGAAGATTAATGAAAGATTTTATAATTTTTCTTAGTTTTTCTCTTAAAACTTTAACTCCATATATTAGCAATCAATATGATATTTTTTTTCTTAAATAAAAGGAGGTCATATACTGACTTTTAGGGGATTAACTTGATTGTAGCCTCTGATTTTGAATCGTCAACTTAATTTTTCATATTTTCTAACCTTAAGGAAGAAAAGAAAGAAGAACTCTATTTTTTTTTTTATTTCTCGATAGCTAGGTTTTCTTTCATTTAATACCTCAGTCATTTTTCTTTTACTAATCAGTCTCTTAATAAACTGATGGGCTTTGGTATTAGTCTAGCCCAATTATTATTTGGACTAGGGTATTACATTCTCCTTTCCTTATAAAAAGTTTCATCTTGAAACTTTGATTTACATCCTTGTCTTATTCCTCCATTTTTGTAATCACATCTCTTACCGTATGATGGTTTCATTAAACTTTGACAAAAGTAATTATTTTGCCTCAAAACTTGTTCTTTCCAATTCACCATTCGAAAAAGATATTTTCAATATGTTAAAACTTATATCATCTTGAATTTTCAAATACTCATATCCAATCATATAGCTTCTATCAAGATATTCTTTTAACATAGATTAATCATGTATATTAGATATCAAAAGTGACAGTATTTTTTATTTTGAACTTCTTTCACTTTACCAAGAACTTCAAATGTCTTTACAATGCAAACTTAACTTTTTTTACTTTATAATCCTCACAACGAGTACAAATGATTAACCACTTGAAGCTATAAATTATATCTTCAAATTTTGGTATAATTCTTGTGCTTACTTTAAACCATTGCTTAATCAACCAAAATTTATTAGCTATTTGTTCCATGAATTCAAGAAATAAAAGTTTTTCTTCTTTGTCCTTATCCTAATAAGTGTAAAACTTAGATCTACTTCCATACAAGACTTCAAAATGAATAATTGAATATTTGTCTTATGACTATTACTACATAAAAAAAATTTTCTCTTCAAGTCACAAGATAAGCACTACTTAAAAGAATGTCTATCAATAATAAAGCTTAAAAACTAGAAGGAACACAAAATATTCTTATCCAAAATCCATTAGTCCTTATTTATTAAAAATTCATCACTTTCTCTATTAACAATAGCATAAAAAAATTTAGAACTTAAATCAAATAAGGTTTTCATTGTGCACTCTGATATTTCCTTCCAATAAAATTCAAACAAATTAACTTTCATAACATTGTTTTTGTAACAAAAAAAGCATGTGTCCACAAAATTCCTTGTAATTTGCTTCACACCATGTGTTCATAACCATAACAACATTGAATAACAGTATCAATAAATCATTTTGTCACCAAAAAGATATCATATAGTACCTTAATTTTCTTTTTTTTTTTTTTCTTCATTGACCATATGAAATTTTCTATTAATTACCCTTTATAATACATATGAAATCAATACAATAAATCATATCCATAAATTTACACTATGTAAATTCAAACATAAATCTTTGCTTACCTAAGTTGTCTCCAATTTTGAATATTGTTCTTTCTGATTTAATAAATCGATTATCACATAACAATTGATTCTTTATAATCCCCATAAACATCATAATGTCTCAAATTTTCTTTTTACCAAATATATTGCTATCATCTCCAAGTCAAAATCAAAACCTATTCATCATAACCAAAAGTAAAAGTCTCTTATAGAATTTATAAACAATAAAAACTCCAAATATTTGAATTCATGCCGAAAGTATAGTTATGAATAATAGTCAAATGCATCACATTATTTTAGATATTTTCTCAAATTTCTCTCAAATCGAATACATGCTTAGCATCACCAAGTACACAAAATCATCACTTGTAATATTTCAACCAATCTTTTGCCCTTATAAGATTTCCAACTATCATTCTTAGCCAAAACATATATATTTTTCTATAAATTGATTACTTCTTCAAAACCAACTTTCTTACTAAATCATCTAGATAACCACAATTTTAATTCCTTGCTAAGTACATAGCCTTATATCACAATAGGCAATGTTCTCCATAAATATAAAATTTGAAGGGATTCAATAGTATACTTCAATTAGAAACTATAACCACAAATTATTCACTTTAGCCATAAAAAAAAAAAAGTTAGTATACCCCAAATAGGAATTTAATGATAAAACTTCAAATTGATTATACAAACATCTAACTCACATGATCAAATCTTTAATACTTTTGCAATAAAAAAATATAGAATCAAATCAAGTGAATATCCTTCTTTATGAATATAAAACTATTTACCATAATTATAATATTTAGAACT